CATATTGGTCAAGGGGGGGAACCATCTTATTTGAATCTCACGCCAACCCTGTGAAACAAGCAGCCCTGGGCTGCTCACTCCCATTTTATGGAGGAGGTGGGTGAGGCCCTGAGAGGGAAGGGGCTGGTCTAGCCTTCTGATTCGTGGACACAGCCAGACCCGGGTGACTATGGTCCCGACACCTCTCCCAGACACCAGAGGACAGCTGAAGGCTACGGGAAGGGGCCTCAGCCAGCCAGGGGCTTGCAGCCCTCCCAGATGAGAATCAGTAAGTGTGGCCTGTCCCTCCTGTGCCCAGGGCACAGGGGGAAGGCCAAGGAGGTGGACAAGGAAGAGAACTAAGTCCCACTCAGAAATGAGCCAGCGGCGCTGGGCCTGTGGCTGTGTGCTCTGAAGCCAGAGCAGCAAGAAAGGTCCTGTCCCTGCCCCAGGAGGGTCCAGTGGGGACAGTGGGTCTTCGTCTTCTCCTGTGAGTTTCAAGCATTGGCTGGCCAGCTTGAACTTGGCAATTGCTTATGTATTTATTTATTCCTTTAACCTTGGTCATAGGGAACATAAGATCGAGGTGAAGCATGCTCTGGAGTAGGTGATTTGGGTCCAAAGCCACCTCTGTAACCTCTCCTTTTTGTGACTTTGGACAAATGACTTCACTTCTCTGGGCCTCAGTTTCCCCATCTATAAAAGGGGGAGATGATAATAGCTATCCCATTGGGTTGTTTTGGGGCTTCGATGGCTATTCTAAGGGAAGTCCTTCATGAGGTGCTGGGCATAGAGAAATATCCGGAGATAATATCCCCGAGAGCTTGCTACACACAGGCCCTGTGCTGGGAGCCTTACAGTTTACTAAGCCCTGATGGGATTTGGGAGGCTCTAGTGTTAATCTTGTAAGGGGCACTAGTGGGATTTGGACCCAGATTTCTGTAGAACCAGGGGGCGGAACCAATAAAAGTGTTACTTATAGAGAACAGTTCCTGCGTGCTGGGCCCTGCGTTCTGTGCCATCGGAACATAAAGGTCAAGTGCAAATGGGCAGTTCTTCCAGGACAACTGGCAGCTATTTGGGACCCTTTCTTCAGAAGGAGTGCTTGAGGCCTGAGCCTCTTAAGTCCAGTTCCAGGCCTCCTGGAACAGAGGCGGAGCTGGGGAAGGACCAAGCTAGGTGGTGAAGAGCCCTGATCGTGAGCTGCATGTTAGAGTTATTCTCAGGGTACTGGGGAGCCACTGAAGGCTCCAGGCAGGGGGAAGGGATCTGACTCTAGGCCAGGAGAGAAGAAACCTGTAGGCGGGCCTCTTGTGAGGTTGCTGGGACCTTCTAGGCAAAAGGAGAGGCCAAGGTGGGAGGTGGGTTCTGGTGGGGGAGCAGTGCTGGGTGCCCGTGTCTTTTCATGTCGGATGGGAAATGGTGCCTCTGGGGGCAGCTGCTCTGGCCTCAGAGGGGGAAGCTGCAGTGGAGGATGGCAGAGCCACCCACCAGCCATGGACAACTCAGCTCTAGTGACAATTGTCAGTTCTTCTGGGACAAGTGATGGACATCTGGGATACTTTCTTCAGAAGGCATGCTTCAGGCCCAGAGCCTCTGAACTCCCGTTTGAGAACTTACATGGCAGAGAAATAGTTAGCCCACTGCATTTTGGGGTCTTTTAGCTACAGCAGCTTAGCTGTATCCTAAGTCACTGTGTGACATTAGGCAAGGCACTTGACTCCTCAGAGCCTCAGTTTCCACATCTGTAAAATGGGATAATGATAGAACCTACCAGGATTCAGAGATGCTGCCTGTAGAACTAGCTTGGAGAAGGCTTATAATCAATGCCCAGTATCTCTGCCCATATGCCCCTGGCGGACCCTGTGCAGGAGACACTCTGAACTCCCCATTCGCTTCCTGCTTCTGATTCCCCCAGTGGCACTCAGCTCGGGCCTGTGGGCACAAAAAGGCCCTGGCCCCAGGTGTACACAAAAAACAGGGGCTGGGTGACTTTCCGGAAGCTCTCTCCTACATTGTACGGGGCGAACACTGAGGCCTACACGGGGGTGGGGGTTTGCTCCAGCTCCACTGTGATGTGGGCAGAGTGGTGGCTGGATCCGGTCCTTGGCAGGTTTTGGGGGGTGTGTGTGTGGGGGGGCAATCTCTGATGTAGGTGTTTGGGGAGCACATTCTTCCCCCACTTTCCCCCTTGCTCACTCTGCTCCAGCCACACTGGCCTCCCAGTAGCTCCTCGTGACCACCCCAGGGCCTTTGCACTTGCTGTTCCTCCAGTGGGCCTACTCTTCCCACCGATGTTCTCCTGGCTGCCTCTTCCTCACCTTATTTGTCCTCAGTTTAAGAATCACCTCTTCAGAGAGGCTGTTTCTGATTACCCTAAGTTGGGCCCTTTGTAATCTTTTATTACTGCCTTCTAATTATTTTCCTCAATTGCAATATATTCATTTTTTAATTTTTTTGAAATACTTGGTTTTGGCCAGTGTCTCCCTCTACACTGTCAAGCTCTATGAGTACAGAGCTGTGGGTGTGTTCCTTGTCCGCTGCTCCCTTCCCATCACTTCTCCCGGCCTTGACCCAGGCGGGTCCACCAGACACAGTCGCCGTGTGAATAGACGAATGTGTGCGTGAACGAGTGTGCCAGGCCTGCACGATCTTGCATGACCTCCCTGTGCAAGATCCCAGTCTCCTCAGTGTGCAGAGGTGGAAAGGGAGGCTCAGAGCGGTCTCACTGGGTAGGGCAGGGATGGGTTGGATGCTAAAGACCTTTCCACTTCTGCCCTCAGGCCACATGAGGTCAGCAGCTGTGCGTTCCCACATTAGTCCAACTCAAGAAAGTAGCACATTTATGCTGGATGTGGCCTGGACTCCAGGAGTCGGTTTCCATTCTCTGAAGGGTTGCTCCATCAAACAGTGCAGCTGCCGGTGTTGCCAAGGCAATGCTGATTGCTTCCTGAAGCATTTTTAAATGGCCGAGGTGAAGGCTCACACAGACATTGAGGGGTGCAAAATCTGGACAAAGGGGTCAAGTGCCCCAGCCACCGAGATAATCCATCCTGATGCTGGCTCCTCCCCTACTCCCTGGAAGGGCCACCTTCTACCTGGCCCGTGGCTGTTGTCCCTGGGGTAGCACAGTCAACTCTCTCCCCCAGCGTGGAAACCGCCTTGGCTGGGAGCATGCGGAGATCTCCCTTCTGTCCGTCTGGCTCCACCAGGACCTACTAGGTTCCAGTGGGAAAGACAGGGCTTGGAGAGCTTTCCAGAAAGTTTCTTCAGCCTTTGGTATTGGTGGAGGGGACTACACTCCAGCATTTTTGTGGTCAGTGTCAAGATGCCTCCAGAGAACTCTGGACAAGGAGGCAGCTTATGGATGCATGTGCACTGGGGGTGGTGGTTGGCTGTGCCACCTTAGATGAAGCCCTTTCTTTCTCTGAGCTCGAATTTCTTCACTAAAATGGGGAGAACACTGGTCTGCTGTGGGGACAGGTGACAGAGTTTGCATAGGAACCTGCAGATGCAGGTGTCCCAGAAGCCAGTTCCTATGAGCAGTGGCCCCCCAGGAGACACACCAGCCATGCACCAGCCCCCTGCCACCAGGGCACTGTGCTGCCCGGGGTCCTTCAGCTGGTCTCCTCCCAGGGCTTTCAGAGGTCTGCAGGGGTCCCATCCGTACTGCACAGGTGGAAAACAGAGGCTCACCCAGGGCTGAGGGGCTCTGTTCCGGGGACAGAGCCAGTACTATGAGCCAGGATCTGACATTTCCTGGGCAGGACCCAGCTGTGACCTTGACAGTCTGGGGCCACCTGGGGATGAGCTGGAGCCAGGGGCCAGGCTTTGGGGCTCAGGGAGGCTGGGAGAGGAGATGGAGATGGAGAGAAAAGAGATGGGAGTCACAGAGACGGAGGGAGGAAAAGCAAGCGATCACCGGTTCCAGCCTTCCCACGTGGCTGCTTCCTGAGACAGGGCCTGTTTCCCCCCTGCTCATCCACGTGACTTGGGTGGGACTGAGCTTGCTTCCGCCCCCCCCCCCCGTCCTGGACTTAATCATGCGGCCCAGGTCTGGCCAATGAGATCACGGTGACAAGTGCAGGGGCAGGCACAGGACCCGGCCTGGCTGGAGGGAATCACACCTTTGCTGGAACGGGTGAGCTCTCTCTCAGGGATGCTGAGCTGTGGGGTCACGGGCCCAGGACTGGTGGGGCCATCTTGTCAGGAGAGAACATGACTGGGAATGAAGTCAACATGGCAGATGGCAGAACCAAGAATGAAGAGGGAATCGTTTGAGTCCCCTGCATCTAACTGCACCTGAATCCATTTCTAAACTTCGTGTTTTGTGAGCCAATCCATTCTTTAGGACAGGGTTTGGATGCTCTGAGCTGGAGAGTCCTGGCTGGGAGGAGGAAGGAAGGTGAGAGGGAAGGGTGACTATCTAAGAACAGGTGTCTGAGAACGACCCAAATGAGCCTCTTGGCCTTTTTAGGGAACTGCCGTGCAGACAGGGATTGGGGCCTTTGCCCCATCCAGAGGAGGCTGCCCCCAAGCTCACAGCTTCGCCCTCCTCTTCTCTCTAGCACACGGCAGGGTGAAAATAAATGCCATGGATACAGCAATAAATGCTCACCTTGGCTGGGTCCAGGAGAGGGGATGCCATGCACTAGGGGCCGATTCCCACCCCCCATCGCCTCTTTGGGAACCAGTATTTGTCAGGCACCCGCTTCGTGCCAGGCTGTGTTCCGAAGCTGACACACACGGTCTCATCTCCTCCTTGCCTCGGCCCGGAGAGGAGTGGGTGTCGTCCTCTCCATTTCACGGGTGTAGCAATGGGGCCTCGAGAGGCTGAGCCACGGGCCTCAAGTCCAAGAACTGGAGCAGGTCAGACTGACTCCAAGCCCTGCCCATGGTACCACCCAGGGGTGTCCAGCTTTTTGGTGTCTCTGGGCCACACTGGAAGAAGAGTTGTCTTGCGCCACGTATTAAATACATTGTGACAAGTATTCACACACAAAAAAATCTCATAGTCGTTTTAAGTAAATTTACGATTTTGTGTTGGGCCACATTCTCAGCCATCCTGGGCTGCACACGGCCTGCGGGCTGCAGGTTGGACACCCAATAAAACGGCAGGTGAGTGTTGATCTCACTGGGATTGAAGACGGTGACACAGTGATGGGGGTGGGTGGCAGAGTGGCTGTGGCCTCCCTCTGACTTTGTCCTCTGAAAGAAGCTCATGAGGCGCCCCTGGTGCCCCAGGTCCCAGCTGTAGCACCACATTGGCTGGGGCAGGAGGAGAGGGCTAGGGGTTCCCGGGTTAGACCTGGGAGGATGGGACCCAGAGACTGGTGTCCTGCCCAAGGCAGTGAGGACAGTTCCGGCTGTGCCCGTACTTGAGCTGGGCTGAGCTGGGCTTCCAGGGAGTGCCGAGGGCAGCCCTAGGCCGCGAGCTGGCGTCCGGGGCCAGAAGGAGCCCCGGAGAGCACTGTCCCAGGGCATAGGCAGGAAACTTAGTTCTAGACCCTTCCTCAGGGATGCTGTGTGCCTGCCTTAATCCAAGTTCCCTTCCAGTTGTTTGTAGAGACTGTTTGAGACCATCACTGTGGCTCTTATGGCCAGAAAGGGTGAGTAGCTGGGGGTGGGGGATGGAACCCTGGGGCTCCTCCTCATGACACTTGGGGACTGACCTTTTCCAAGGGCATCCACAGCATACACAGGGCATAAACAGGGCCCATTTTCAAATAAGTAAATTTGGACAGAGCTGCCCGCTCTGGCCCCCATGTGGGCAGCCACATACAGGCTCTGACAAGTCCTGCAGCTAAGAATGCCTGTTCACGTCGATTTTACCTGGTGCTTCGCTCGCACTTGACCATGGGTACTCTGAGAGGGGAGTCGGAGTTGTTCTCTGTGGGGCGCATTCTGGGACCTGCTGGGGGTAAAGGAATCTCTCTTAGCTCTCCTGGAGCCCCTGAGAGGCCAGGGCTGAGCTCCGGGTGTTGGGGCCCAGGAACAGTTGACAGTGTGGGGTGACAGTAATGACCCCTATTATGGGGTATATGCAGCCTTGGACAGAAAGCTCAAGGACATCTCAAGGCTGAGAAAGCTTGGGACAGGAGATGGCCTTCCCACCAACCCGGGAAACCCAAACAGTTTCCTGCCTGCAAAGACCTTCCCACCTGCCTGAAATTCTACCGTCAGCCAAGCACTCTTTTGAGGAGCCAAGCCATCTGTTCCCAGCTCATTCAGGGCAACGTGACCCTCACAATGACAGCGCCCCTGTGTCCCCCACCCCTGCAGACGACTGGAGGAAAGAGAAGGAGCAATCCTGCAGAGACAGGAACCCCTAAACGCCCACAGTTTCACAACCTGAGGGGGACAGGGGGACATCTTGGGGACTCCTGGGGCAAGGAGCGCTGGCTCAGGAGACCCCGGTGTCCAGGCCCAGGCCCTGGCACTGTGTCCTGTTTTGGGTCCTGCTCATCCAGGGAACGCCAAGTCCTGTCTCCTCCTGTGTGTCCAGCCTCCACGCGAGGCTGCCGTTAGATGCCAGTGGGGCGCACCATCATGCGCGTGGCGTGCAGCGAGTAGCTGGCGCCCTGGAAGTAGTGCCAGCGGATGCCGTTGAGCTTGCGCACGTGGTTGTGAGCTGGGTAGTAGATGCCGTTGAGGTTTGAGAGGCCACAGGCATCAAACCACCACCCTGGAGGGAGAGAGGAAGAGGCTTTGGGGAGCTGGGGGCCCACCTGTGGGGTGAAGGCAGCCCCCAACCCCAAAGACTAATCGGGCTGTTGCCCCCTCCGGGAGACGGGGCTGGGTGGGAGTGGGCCTGGGCGGTGGGAGGGAGACTCCTAGAGGCCTCTGGAGGGTGGCCCTGGGCTCCGGCTGCGCCCCTTGGCCCCTGCACCCCCAACCGTTACCCCTCCAAGTCCCTGTCTCTCTCCCTCCCTGACCTCCTTCCTGTTCCCTCAAAGTCTCCATTTCCCTCTCTCCACGGGGTTCTAACGCTCTTTGTCATTCCAAGTCTCTCACCCAGGTCTGTCTCTTTCTCTCTCTGATGGTGACCCTCTCTGTCTTTCCCTGGTCTGCATTTCCGGCTCCATCTCCTCTCCCTTTGTAATTCTGTCTCCCCGTAGCTCCCAGTCCCCACTCTGTCTCTGCGGTTCTGGTGTTTCTGTCTGTCCCCATCTTTTCCTGTCTCTGTGTCTCAGGCGGTGTCTCCTAACTCCCACCTGGGGTGGATGGGGCTTCCCCCCGCCTGGCACCCACCTCCAGACAACATCTGGGCGCACTTGCAGAGGCAGTTGTCGTTGTCTGCGTCCTGGGTGCTGAAGTTGGTGCCCTGCAGCACCAGGCTGCTCTGGTGCCCCGCTGAGCCGCTGTACCCGCTCAGAGAAAGCCTGGAGGCCACCGGAGGTGGTGGTGGGAGAGGGGCCCAGCGTCAGGCTGGGGCCGGTTGAGGAAGGGGCTCTGATCTGGTTGTTCTGGGTGGGGGAGCTGCGGACCGGGGTGCTTGGCCCATCTCCCCTCCAAGATCGCCTTCCTTGTCTGCTGCCTCTCAGGGGCTGGGCACCCACGGGGTGCCAGGCCTCCCTTGTCTTGCTGAACCGTCTCGCTGAACCATCTCACTGAGTCTTACACAGGAGCAAGCATGGTTACGATGCTAATACAGTCAGGGCAATGGCTAACATTTAAAAAACATCTACCCTGTGCCAGGCATTGTTCAGAGCACTTTACGTGGTTTAATTCATCTTGTTTAATCCTCACAACACTCAGGTATTCCCATTTTACAGATGAGGAAACAAAGACCCCAAGAACCCAACGAGCCTGCCTGAGGTCTCACAACGACGAGGGTGAGAGCCAGATCCCAGGCCACTGGAGCCTGACTTGCGAGCTACGTGCATTTTCTTCCCCAGCTGACCATCTGCAAACCGCAGCCCCGCCACACCTCCTTACATCCACCCGCCTCCTCCAGGAAGCCTTCTCTGACCACCCCAGCCCACTCGGATCTCTGCCCCGGGTGAACGAACCCCTCCCTATCCCTGTGACTTCCACATCTGCAGCCAGCTGGGGAGGGTTTATAATTTTCTGCCAGGCTGTGAGTCTCAGCTCTGCCCCCTCGCCAGCTGCCTGACCTTGGGCAGACCACTTCATGTCTCAGCTTCAGTTTCTTCATCTGTTAAGGTGGTAATGATAGTCTATTTACAGGGAGGGGCCCTGGCTGGTGTGGATCAGTGGATTGAGCTCAGGGCTGCGAACCAAAGGGTCACCGGTTCAGGTGGCGGGCCAGGTCAGGCCCCCAGTGGGAGCCGCGTGAGAGGCAACCACATACTGATGTTTTCCTCGCTTTCTCCTTCATTTCCTCTCTAAAAATAAATACATATTTTAAAAAAAACGGAGAAAAACCCCACAGTGAGGGCTTCAGTCAGCTGTTGTGAGTCGGCGAGTTCAGCGTGTGATAGGTGCAGAGCAGCGCTGACACGTGATCAATGCTCAGCACGGGTACGGCTGCATGTCCCTTGTTCCTGTGTCCCTCGGCACACAGCCACCACAGGCTTCCACCTGCCTGGCTGGAGAGTGGCGGGTGCCTGTAGCAGAGAAGGGGCTGCACTAGCCGCTGGGGCGAGGAGCCAGTTTGGGAGCAACGAAGAAGGTCCTATGGGTAAAGGTAAGTGGATGCCAGATGTGACCAGGGCGGCTTGGGGGAGCTCTGGTTCTTCCAGGACAGGGCCTGGGAGATTCTCCCAGTGGGGTTCAGAAGGAATGTAGGGCCTGGACATATGGCCTGGCGAGGTCCCTGCACCTCCTACCCACATGGGCTCTGTCTGTGGTGAGACAGGGACATGTCCCTCAGGGTCCTGATGGCTGTGACCAGCCATGAGGCTCTAACTGTGCCCTTAAACATGCCACTGGGGGCTCAACTGATGGATGTGGCAAACTGCCCATCCAAGAGGCCCGTCTGGCCAGGGCCTCCCAGGGTGGGGCAGGCAGGCTGGCCCACCCACTAATATGGTCCTGACTTTTCTTTACGGCCATGGAGGTCTCCTCTCAAGGGCTCAGCGATGTTAGTTCAGAGACAGGCTTGGGCGCAGGGTGAGGTTTGGGGTCAGACTCAGTCTGGGGCTGTGTAAAATCGGGGCTGAACAAAGCCGACTGTTCTCATGGGCCGCTCCAGCAGCACTGGCCTCTCCACTGTGCCCAAGTCCTCAGCTCAGGCCCTGCCTCTCTTCCTTTCCCCTTTAGGAGCCAGCATGGGGGTCTGTGACCTCTGGGGGACACCCAAGTCATGGACCAGAAAACCCCACTTGACCCATTGTTCAAATGTGCTTTGAGTATGTTCATAGCTCAATCCCGGGGAACCCACGCAAACCCACAGGTCTCTGGGGATCACCAAGTTAGACACAGCAGGTGTGTCTTCCATGCACCTGTGGATCTGAGCCTGAGTCTATGCGTCTGTGGTGTGAGCATTTGGATGCCACCTTCCTGCCTGTGTGTGTTTTGTTTGAGTTTGTGCTAGAGTATCTGTGGTGGGTGCGAGGGTGTGCTCTGGAATCTGCCTTTGTGCCTGGGGGCCTGGGGTTGTGCGTGATTTACCTGCGAGGGTTTCTGTGGCGGACATTTGTACACATCTGGGTGTGTGCCTGTGTGTGTTTGTATAGCTGTGCACTTGTGTGATATTGTGCTCTGCGTGTGCCCCAGGGGTGTGGCGAGCCCCCACACGTGTGCATGTGTGCACGTGTGCATGCTTGGACGTGTAGTCAGGCCCAGTGGGTGAGTGCTTCTGAGAGGCACATGCCCAGTGTCTGTGTGTGCCCGACGTCTTATCCGTGCCTCCCCTCTCCCCTCCCCATGGGCCACTTTCTCTTCAGGCTCCCGCATGCACCCCAGCTGGGCTCTAGAAGCCCGCATTATTGTAACTGACAAATAAGGGTGCCCCTCCTGCCCCTGATGCCCATGCCCCAGCTGCTGACTGCGCCAACACACTGCTACCTCTGGCTTCCCTATGGGGATCCTCCCCACCTCACCAGCTGGCTGATTCTGTATGGTGGTGGCATGGGACCAGCGGCTGCTCTGTCACTTTCCCCCAGCCCTGCTTTGGCATTTTCCAGACCCCACTGTGCTTTCTGGGATGTCTACTCCCAGTGCCTTAAACTTTTCCTGTGAGCAGGGACTCTTCCTTATGATCTCAGCAGCCTTAGAAAGATGCTTGTTCAGGTTTTAGGTCTCTGTGGCCAGCTGAATGTCAACTCTTTCTCTGCCTTTTTTCAGAATATTATTACTGTCTGAGATGTGCTTCCTACTCTCTTTGTCTGGAGAATGCCCACCCATTATAGGCATCACTTCAGTGCCTCAGTCTCCACATCACTAAAGTGGGTACAGCAATGCTCACCTCAGAGTGCTGTGGGAGGTTAAGTAGAGCAATGTGCCTGGAACATGGCAGGTGCTCAATAAATGCTCATTCCTTTTCCTAAACAGAGCCAAGGGCCAGGCTGAGGGAAGGAGGAAAACCTTGATGATATTATGATGTTCTCATATTTAAGCTCATCTTGTCATTAAGAAGCAGAGAGGCCAGAGCCTTGACTCCTCCAAGTTCACAAAGTGAGCTGGAGCAGAGCTGGCATGAGCCCAGGTCCCCTGATTCCCAGCCCAGGGATCTTTCTATCTCTCCCCATGGCACAAGACAGGCTGGGGAAGTTGTCTCTCCCCTTCTGAGCCTCTGTAAAACAACTGTCTTAAGGTGACTGACCTTGGAAGGCCCTTCCTGCTCTAAGAGATGGCAGCATCAGCAACATTCTCTCCACCCCACCCCACCCAGTGGCTGGGATGTGCTGAGTGCTAACCAGCTGCCTCCAGATCCTGTGACGTGTGCCCAAATGGGGGACAGATGGTAGGAACAAGAAACGCCCAGGGACTGACCCTTGGTGCAGACCCGGTAGTCACTAGCCAAGGGTCCTCAGCCCACCCACCAGCCTGGGCCCCGAGCCCACCTGTACAGCTGCTCCTCGCTGCCCAGCTGGAAATGCTCATACTGGGCATAGGCCTTGTTGCCTTCCCAGTCTTGCAGCTCCAGGCGCAGAGAGTAGGCTGCCCTGCTGGTGAGCTGGTGCACCAACTCATTGCCCAGCCAGTGCTCCCCAGCTGGGTCACCGAAGCCCTAGGAGGAGAGGTGGGTGAGGGTGGGCTGTATGCCAAAGAGCTGGGTGGGCCAGGGTCTGGGGCCACTTATCCAAAACCACTTTGCCTGACGATGAAGTTCATAAAGTACAGTGTGGGCAGACTCGGGGAGGAGGGACCTCCCCAACTTCTGGAGCAAAAAACCTAAGACTTTTGCAAATGTAAAAGCCTGTTAAAAGTAATTGAATCACATTCCTATTAAGTTTGAGAACAGGCAAAACTCATCTGTGTCGATAGAAGTCAGAATGATGACATCTTTTGGGGGAGCACAGACTGGAGGGCACAGGGGCCCCCAGGGGTGCTGGGAGCGCCCTGTGTCCACCTCTCAGGGGTGACCACATGACTGAACACATATGGAAACACTCACTGAGTCTGATACTTAAGATTCATGCACTTAGTGCATGTATGTTAAATCTCAATTTAACAATTAAAGATTTTATTCAGCTGCATAAATGGTAGAGCACACATTGTTCAGGGACATGGAAACCACTAAAATTTCTGCAACATAGAGCCAAAGGGGAAAAGGACTCAGGGACATGGACACCAGGGCGGTGATTGTGGGGGAGAGGGGGGATAAGAGGGGTAAATGGTAATGGAAAAATACAATAAAAATAAAGAAAAAAGAAAAAATACCCTAAACACTGAAGGAAAGAAGATTCAGCAACATAGAAATGTAAAGAAACAGGAGTCACCGGTGTCCTAGGTCACAAACCAACTCCCTTGGCCAGAACAAGAATTCAGCACCAGGGACAGGGCACGCCTCAGCCCCACTCCCCATTTTCGTCCTGCTGCACCACTGATTACATAATATTCAGCACCCTTTTGTGTGTTTCTGCATCCGAGCACCCTATATCTCTTTGCTATTCTAGCGACTGTTTAAGACCCAGTAGGTACAAGAACACTCATAGCTTATATGAAGTGGACAGCAAACAGGCACAAAAAATAATATTGTTGCATTTCCTTGTGGGTGTCTTTGTTCGTTTGTTTTGCTTTAGAAAACTTGGAGTGTTTCAGTCAGCTTGCCAAAAGTCCTTTATTCAAAATGTAATTAAAAAACTGGAAAACAATTGAGCACTATTTCTCATCTTGTAAAATGCACGTGGTCTTTGGGCCAGCAATTCCACATTACAGGGTCTTTCCAGCACATGTGGTCACGTATGTGTGGGAAGACAAGGAAATTCATTCAAGCCATTCACCCAGGGGTGGGAGAAGAAGATTACTATTTTTCTGTTTCTTTTTTGGTATTCTTTAAATTTTTTAAAAGCAATGAATATATGTTATATTTTCTAAAAACTAAAACATAAAATTAAACTTTCATTATTAGGATATATGTTAGAACTTGCAAGAAGAAGGTTAAATTTCAGAGCATGGAGTCCTAGAAAGCTTAAGGACAAACTTTTCCCCCTGCCCACGACCCACCTCCCATACCAGGTTCCAGGGCTGAAAAGCACCCCCCGCCTCAAGGCAGTAATGTTACCTGTTTATAATCTTTCCATTTCCGCTGAAAATTCACGCTGCCATCCTCACGGCGCTGGATTAGGGTCCATCCACCTCCATTGGTATCCATGTCACAGAAAACCTGAAGGAATTGGTGGGGGAGGGGTTGGGAGACCTTGGGGGCAGCCCGAAGCCAGGTACAGGCCAGCTCAAGTGTGATCTGGCCAACAAGACCACAGGGGAGCCTGCTGGTCAAGGGCATCAGAACGATCCAGGCTAAATCCCCCATCCACTGCCATCATTTTTCTAGAGGGCAAGTGATGCCCTCTCATAACCTTCCTTCCCTCATTTGTAAAATGGGATATTAATACCTTAACCTCCTTGTGCCTCAGTTTCTCATCTGCAAACTGGGGTGGTTGTGAGAATTAAATGAGAGGAATCATCTAAAGAACATTCTGAATAAACGCAGGCTTTTCACTCGTTATTACTGCAGGGCTGCGTAAGGATCAAGTGCTGATAGGTGTGAAGGGCTTGGCACCCAGTGTAGACTCGGGAAATGCCTTTCTGCTCAGTGGGCAGATGTTTTCCAAGCCACTTCCTCTGCGCCGGGCTCCATCCAAGGCACTGGGTGCCAATACGGATAACAAACACAGAGTTCCTTCTCTCAAAACGCTTACCATCTATGGCAATCACTTCTTTCAGTCTACCTTTGCTCACATGTTATTTTTTTCCAGCCAGTTCATTACAAGTCCAATGTTCAGGGAGGACAAACTTGGCGCCTAGCCCTGGATGAGAAGAGTCAGAGACAATCAGACATAAATGAACCCTCAGCATTGACTTTGATTGGAGGAGGCTGTGACAGTGCAGGCAGACTGTTGATGACAAACACTGGGGCAGCTACAAGGAGAGCCGTCAAGAAGGAGCCACTGGAAAACCCTGGAAGGCTTCCCAGAGGAGGTGGCATTGGAAGAGGGCTTTGGTTGATAATGTGTCTGCCAGGCAGATATGAGTGGGAATGGCATTTCCAGTGGAAGAAGCAGCAGGAATAGAGGCTCTGAGATGGTAGAGGCCTGCTGAGTGAGAGAAGGCAGTGGCATCTGCCGTGAGGGTAGCAGAGGGTGCAGTGAGGGAAACTGAGGTCTAGAGAGGGGAAGGGACTTGCTCAAGGCAAGTGAATCTAAAGTAACATTTAGGTTTGATTCCAGATCTCTTGCCTCTTAGGCCAGCTCTTCCCTCTCTATCAGTGTCCCCAAATTTCAGCCATTCGCACCTTCCCAAATTCCACCAAAGCTAAATGCTTAATTTCATGTAGAATATTTACTTGGAGATTTTTTCACTCAAGTAATACTTAGACTAAATGTATTTTAAAAAGACATCAGTACCATAAATTAAAAACTAGTAACACCTTTGTTCAGATAATTGTAAAATAAATGGAAACAAAACAGTGATATGAAAGTCTAGCTAAAAATTGTGAGTCTGGTCTCCTGGGTTAAAAGGGTAGTGTGGCCGGTGTGTTACGGATGATCTGGAAACAAAGTGGGCCACTCTCTTTGATACATTCAGGAGAGTTGAAAGGAAATCGGAAAGGAAGTACCAAGTGTGAACACTGGCAAATTGTTCCCCATACCCTTCCCCTGCTGCGCCTGGCCCCCAAACCCGCCTTCCTGACCTCCACTCTTTCCCTTGACGCCCCTTCCCACCTGATCACTGGACCTCAAAGCTCAGGGCGGCCTTGGGAGCCACTCCGGAAGAGGGCCCCTTATTTCCCACGTGGAGCAGAGAGCCCCCACTCCTGCCTTCAACCGACTCTGTGTAAACTAGAAAGGGACTTCTTTGTGTTAAGGCCCTAGAATTCCGGGGTTTGTTTGCTACATCAGCTAACATGACCTTCGACACAGAAGTCTTTCCTGTGATTGCAACCGAACAGCATCTCTGGAGAAGATGCAGGCGGAGGATATACTCACATTTGGCAACTTTGGCTCTAAGCCCATGAGCTGACCCGGGGCTGGGTGGGGGCTTGAAGGGAGGGCCGCCCCACCTTCTTTGAAGTCTAAAATGTTGGGCAGGCCTGAAGTCGATGGGGCGGGGTTTGTCTGTGGCCCTTGGCTCAGCACCTCTGACAGCCTCAGCCCCCCGAGAGCCCCCTCACCTTCCTGGGCTCTGTCATATTGGCCACACGGATGGTGTAGATGCCACTGGCATTGGCCCCGAAGCGCTGGATGTCTGTGCAGTCCTGGAACACCTGCTCGGCTGCCACGACGGAGGCTGCGGTGGGACAAAGCAAAAAACACCAGAGTGAGCTAAGGAGAGGGGGAGGGGCTAGGCCGCCACTCCTGCCTGCTCTGTGCCAGTTCCAAGTTGGGAGTCACTGGGGACCATGAGAGGAACCAGACCTGGGACGGTTTCCTACAGAAAGTGAGAGTGAGCTGAAACCTGGCTAAAGAGCCATAGCTCCCTGAGTGGTGCCGGAGAGGGTGTTCCAGGCAAAGGGAACAGCATATGCGAAGGCTCCAAGGTGGGAAGAGTCCTGGTGTGTGCAGGGAACAGGGTGTGGTGAGGGGAACGGAGTGAGGCCAGGCGGGGAAACGACTCACACCACGAGAACAGGGCGGAAGCCAGAGAGAGCTTGGGTTGTCTGATCGACCTATGGGGAGTAGGGCAAGGCTGGCTGAGAGAGGGCCACCAAGGAAGGATTTCAGCAGGGGCCGGGGAAGCCTTGAGTGCCAGGCCGAGGAGCTCAGACTGTGCCAAGGAGCGTGGAACAGAGGCTGGAGGGGATAAGACTCCAATCAGGGAGGCCAGAGACGAGGCTGCTGCAGCGGAGAGGGTACTTCCCGCTTCCGCAGACCAGGAGACCGAGACCAGGAGTGAAGTGACAGGCTCAAGGGCACACAGCTGGCAGGCGCAGAGCCTTCCCTCACCCCGGGGATTTGTTCCTGGAGATCCCTTGGGTGGGAGGCCCGGGGTCCCCTCCAAGGCCACCCCTCAGCTGGACATCCCTGAAGCCCTGGGAGCTGACCACTGGTCTCAAGAGCCCATGTTTCTCCTCTCAGGGGACTGTTAATGACCGAATCTCAGTGGGCCCCAGGAGCTGCAGGCCAGGCCTGAAAAAAGTGCCTGTGGACAAATAAACAGAGAGGGCTTCAGATTCCCTTCTCTGTCCCTTTTAGTGGGATCCAGTTAAAGTTTGAGCTGCCAGTCCGCCAGAATCCAGTCTCTGGGTAGGTGGTTATCCAAGAACGGGGCTAAAATTCCAGATGGATAGGTATCCTCACCACTGAGGAACCAGGAGGCCACCAGGGGGCAGGACTTCCTGTCTCGGCCTCTTCCTTGAACCTGGATCCTCGGTCCTGGAGTTGGGGCACCTTAGAAGGAGGCAGTTTTTCCTGGATCACAGATGAAATGACTAAGGCCCCAAACCACATGCACAAACATTCCCTGGGCAGGGTCTCTGCGGCCTCAGCTCTCGGGCCCCTGGTCCGTGGGAAACTGCAGTCCAGCCAAGCCCATGAGAGGTGCGGGCGTAGAGGTGAGTGGGGATAACAATGATATCAATAAAAGTGAAATATCTATTATGTGTTGGAGTGTTTCTTAGCCAGGTGCTGCCAGGGGCAGTGTGAGACCAGGACAAATGTTTTTGGGGGTATAACAGCAAGCACGGGCAGGTGCTGATGGCAACATAGTTTGGCCCCAGCCTGGGTCCCTTTGAATCTCTAGGCTGGTAATTTGTACAGCACGGTCCCATTTTGGTCCTAGGCACCGTGCTCAGTCCCTTCATGTATATGAACTTATCTGGTCTCTGTGCAAAGACTCTGCGAAGTAGGTGTTATTATCATTCCCATTACAGAGGTGAGGAAAATCGAGGCTCTAAGGTGTTAAATGACTCGGGCAAAGTCACAGTGCTGGTAAGTGAAGGAGCCAGGGCTTGAACTCTGGTCCATCTGACTGCAAAGCCTGCACTCATCCCACTACCCACTTCCCCTTGGGTCTCCCCCACTGAGCCTACAGGAGGCTGAGCACACGGGCTGAGCTAATGAATGCTGCTTCTGACATCATGCATGCATTGGGGTTTTTCTGCCTGTGTCCCTGTCCTTCTAACCTTCTGAACACCCTGAGTTCTCCACCCATTGCCAGCCTCCACCTCCCTAGGACAAAGCAACACAGGCTTCCTACTAAGCTTCAAGGATGCCTGGTTCTGGCCCCTGTCTCCATCTGATCTTCTGTTCTACACCGGGTGGCTAATCCTCTTTTAGTTTCTCCATTCAGACAGGAAGAGAAATGACACCCTACTGCCCTTCCCTGGGGACAGTGTGGCAGGAGAACAGGGCCTTCCGGCCAAGGGTGCCCGAAGTGAGGTGTCCAGCACAGCTGTCCCCCAGCCTGGTGAGCAGGCGTTGGGCCACAGCTGGAGACTGGGTTGGTGGTGAGCCTGTGGGGAGAGGCGTCATGCCGGGACCCCGTGCACCGGGCTGAGCTGCAAGAAACCCACATGTGGGATTAATTTCAGCAGCCTCTCTGCCAGGACAATGTGCCAGCTGGTAACAGCTTTGGGTCACTCTGTAGCTCGTGGTTTGGAGGTATCTGCTTCTCCTTCCCGTAGCTTCCTCAGGTCTCACACCCCTATGCAGCAGTGTTTGTTGGCCTTAGATGAAGCCACGGTGCCATCCTCTGCTCCCAGATTGCTGCCAGCCACAGTGCCTGGCATCCAACACTATTGCCAGATTCCGGGTGCTCTTAAGGCTTTCTTGACTCCCCATCGTGACCCAGCAGCAGTAGAAACCCTTTTCTGTGTCTTTTTCTCTCCTCCACACCGTGGTTCCGGACCAAGCTCCCTAAAACAGTCCCGCCCTGTTCACACTTCCCCAGGGACTCCCCACTGCCCCCAGGTTAAAGTTCCCTTTCCTTAGCACAGCATTTTTTTAGGCCTTTCATGGTCTGGAAAGTTCAGGAACACTGCTAGCAGAACATCAGGCACATAGTAGGCACTCAACAACTACACTTTTCCTCCTCCTCCCCTCTGAGACCCACAGACAGGAGGGGTCGCATTTTTGCAAGAGACATAGGCCATGACTGTGTTGTTCGCTGCTGTCAGCCCAGCACCCAGCACCCAGCACTGGGCCTGGCCTGCGGTAGGTGCTCAGGAAGTGTTTGCTGACCCAGTGACTGCAGCTGGAACCAGGAGTGCCTTGGCCGCCCCCAGGGAGCCCCTGAGAAGGAGCCAGTGAGGGACAGGGAGCTGGCCCACGGGTTGTTCTCTCCTCTCAGCAGTCAGGGCCGGGGGTGCCTGGTCACTTCTGTTTCCCCCTTTTGGGCTCATGGGCAAGGGTATTAGGGTGAGCGAAGTCCCCAGGGGAGCACTGAATCCAACCTCCTCATTCAGTATGTAGGGAAACTGAGGCCCAGGGAGGAGTGGGGCAAGCCCAAGTGAGTGGCAATGGAGTATGGATCCTGGAATCCAAAATCATTAGTCTAAGCTGGTGGAGTCCTTGTTATTATCATCATTTCTACTAAACAAATTGGGAAACTGAGGCCAAGAGAGGCACAGGGGCATGTCCAGAGTTATAGAGTCTGGGAGAAGAGGCTGGTTTGGTTCCTGTTGGGACTGTTGACACAGTATTGTTACTGCTTGTTGTTATTTCCATTTCACAAGTGGTGGGAGAAGGGTGAGGGCTTTCTGGTGGGGGCTTCCAGGCCCGTGGGTAAGCAGTGTCTGCGGCCAGCCCCTTCCCGCCCTCCTCCCACCCCACACGTACCCCGCTCACCGGTGCCCTGAGCCACCAGGCGCAGCAGGTGCTGCACTGACTCCAGCAGCTGGTGCTGCTGGAGCTGCAGGAGGTTGGAGTTGCTGCTGGCGGCACGCAGGCTGCGCTGGAGGTCGGTGAGGGCGCCATTCTGGCGGCTCAGCAGGCGCCGCAGCTGCTCCTTCTGCCCGCGGAGGCTGGCCAGCTCCGCCTGCTGCTGTGTCTCCAGCGCTTCCACCCGCATCTCCAGCGCGCTGCGGGGAGGGGCGAGGCAGGGCGCACAGAGGTGAGCCCAACACAGTCCCCAGCAGGCAGCCACGCTTGCAAGCTTTCCTCCTGGGTCCCAGGGTGAGTCTGTGTTACAGACCTGAGCTGAGGCTCAGAGAGGTAGAGCGTGCAACTCAGGATTGCAAAGCCCAGAGGTCGGTGGCACAGAATAAGGATTGGAGAAAAGAGTAAAATGGATTTGGGTCCAGTACAGAAAAGAAGTAGGGGTGGGAGGAACATGCCAGCAACCTGGTGGCCAGGATCAAATCCCAAATCTGCTCGCCCCTTGATTCAGCAGTCCACTCTCAGGCAGTAACGTTCCCCTAGGGAGAAAGGGCAAGAATGCCCGTCGGGAGGCAGGTTGTAATAGGGTAAAACCAAACAGCCTAAATGCCCAGTAGCCAAGGCTGGCTGAGTCTGCTCTGCTTGGTGTCCCTGGAAATATTCTGGAACCACAAAGAGGAAGAAGGCAGAGCCATTTGCACGGAATTGGAAAGATGCTCAGGACTTGATGTGAGCCGACCCTGGCGCATCAGTGCCCCTAGTCTAACCCCACGTGTGGGAGGATAAAAAAGAGAGAAGGAGAAAAAGTATTAATATAAACACAGAGGGTTGCCGGTGGACCTACAGGAAGAGGTGCGGAAACACAGTTGGTGCCTGTGCAGGCGGAAAAGGGGCCGCAGGTCCCCTGAGCGCTGCCACTTCTGCAGAGCAGCGTGGAGTGGACGGAGTTGGAGAGGAGGAGGGGGGCTGCGTGGAGGGGCCGACTTCCCCTTTCATCTTACATGGGTCTCTGTTGTCCGATGATATGAACAGGAGGTGTTTTTGTAATGAGTTTTTAAAAAGAAGAGTTTTGTTTTTTTTTTAAAGAAACACTTTTGACATGGCTCTGTCATGGCTGGCATTTTTACCGCACAGCTTTGCTCCTGTGTGTGCGGTGAGATATGGAATGTTGTTCACTGCATCACCGGCCGTAACTGCACAAAATCAGAAACAACCCCAGTGCCCACTAACTGAGGACGTGGGAATGAGTGCGGGAGGGCCACACAACACACATGCAGCTGGAGAAGAGAATGCATAAGGGTGTCATGAACTTATACAGCCATTTCCTGGACAACTGAGAAAAGAAAAGAAAAAAAAACCCAGCCAACACCAAAGTGCAGAAGAGTGGAATGCTGCATTTGGGTTTAAATAGCACAAAAAGGGATTATTTGTGCCTGTTTATAAGAAACCTGGAATATTAGCTTAGAGAATGCCAGCTTTACCAGGACAGGGATTTTTGTGTATTTGTTCACTTCTGCAACCCCTGGGTCTGTGATAGTGCCTGACGCACGGTGAGAGCTCAAAGAATAACTCCTTCCCCCCCGCAAATATTGTTGGTTGAATGGACAGACAGACACACAAGAAACTAGGAACAGCAGCTACCTCTGCTGCAGGTGAGTGGGTGGCTGAGGGACAGGGAGAGATTTTCGTATATGTCAGGTCATGCCAACCCATTCTCCAGACTAAAACACTAAGTCCAGCCAGGGCAGAAGGATCCCGAATACATGTCGCAGGATGAGAGACAATTTGGACACACTCAGATTCTAGAATTTCAGCCAACTCCATGCACCAAGAGCTTATTGACGACATGCATCTTCACTGATTTCTAGGCCCCTGGTGCCAATTCTGAGTGATGGAAAGTGTCCTAGTCTTTGACCTACGCCCCCACCTTGGGGCGGGAGAATAAGAACGAGAAGGTGACAAACCACCACTAACTGCACCCCGGTCGGAGGGAGCTGGGCGACACCTAGGGACTCATCTTGGCCTCTCACATCGGCAACAATAACATCTCACCCTGTGCACAGGCCTGAGGCCACCTTTGTGGGTGTGTTTGCTCCTCCAGCACCCTGACCTCGGCGGTATTTTCTCTACTCAGCTCGAAACTGAGAGGAAATCAGCCCCGGGTGTCTGCTTCTCTGCCTTAGCTATAACCCATGACTCCTTTCCCGTGTGATTTCAAGGGTGTTCCTCTTGTGCGTATTTTTTTTTATAAAAGCAGAGATTCCCCACCAGTGCAGATAATAAACTGGTCATTGTGGTTGCTGCTGGGAAGGAAAACTGGTGAATGAGATCAGATTTATTTATTTATAAGTAAAGGAATCACATTAAAATGTATGGCATGTCAATTGCAGCTCAGTAAAGCTGTTTAAAATGTATGAAATAAATAAATGGAGAAAAGAAAAAAGAAGAAGGAAGGAAGGAAGGAAAGGGAGGGAGGGAGGGAAGGAGGGAGGGAGGGAGGGAGGGAAAGAATCAGGGTGTTCTGAGTTCCAGGCAAGTGTGTCCGTCTCCACCTGGCACTTGTACTGCCTGGCCCACAGCCCAGCCCCAGCCTCAGCCCCAGCCTCGGCCCAGCCCCCGTGTCCACCTCCACTCCTAGCTGCAGTCTGGTCTCCAACCCTGATTTTAGTCCTTGCCCCTGCCTGGGCCTTGTCCCAGCTGTAGCTTTAGCTGTAGCCCCCAGGTGTTCCCTCACTGCAGTCCTAATCCAGGCCTCCAGCTCTGTCCCCAGACCCTGTTGCAGGCACTAGCCCAAGTCTAGCTTCCAACCCTGGCCCTGGCTCCCACCCAGCCCTGACTCTCGTGCTCACACAGGTCCCGGCCCAGCCCTGGCTCTCAGCTTGGGCCCTAGCCGCTCTCTTGGCCCGGTGCCAGTGCCCACCTGTTGTAGCCCTGAAGCTGGTAGAGCTCATGGCCCTGTAGCAACAGCTGCTTCTCCAGCTTGTTGGTGGACAGTGAGGTCTCCAGCAGCTGGATCTTCATCCTTGATGTCTGGTTCAGTACCTGCCTCGGCAAGCAGGAAGGGGTAGGGGATGCTATGTAAGCCCTACAGGAAGCTGCCCAGCAGCTGCCTACCTGCCCACAGTCTCTGCCATTCCAGAACCTTGCTGACCTGTCTCCACCCTCCCAGTAGTTAATTTCTCTGGTTGTTCATTGATTGATTCATTCACTCACTCACTCACTCACTCAAAGGCCCTAACTGAGCTTATGATCTGCTTCCTAAATTTGCTCTTCCTGTCACTGCTGCTCAGGCCCCCGGGGGGGGGACTCACCCTTGACCTCCACACCTAATGCATCAGCAAGGCCCATCAGCTCCATCTTCCAAATGGCTACCTGACCACTTCCCTCCTTCTGCGTGGCCCCACTCTGGCCCTGGCCTCCATCATTGCTCGTTCTGTGTCCTGTGTCAGTTGTTCACAGGGTCCCCTGTTCCCACCCTTGTCCCCTGCAGTCCATTCTCTGCTCAGCGGTCCCAGGCAGCTTTTTAAAATGTGGCCCCTGTGCTCAAAATCTCCCTGTGGCTCCCACTCATGAAGTGGAGAAGCCCAGTACCCACCATGGCCTTCGAGGCCCTGTGATCCATCTGCCCCTGTCACCGCTCTGACCCCTCGCCCACCACTCGCCTCCTCGCCACTCCAGTCACTCCAGCCACACTAGTGTTCTTGATGTTTCTGGAGCCTGGCAGCCTGGTCCCGCCTCTGGGCCTGCACACGTGCTGTGTTCCTTGTCTGGCTGCTCTCCCAGCAAGCACTCCAATCCTGCCTTCCCGGTGGTGCCTGCCTGGCCTTCCCGGCCTCTCACCCCTGAGGCCACTCCCACCACATGCAGGGGTAGGGATGGATACCTGTTTTATTTAGTGTGTAAACCCCAACCCGGCACCTTCAGCAGTGCCTGGCACATAGTAGGGCTCACCAAACACAGGCCCATTTGCCAGTCACCTTTTCATCCATTCACTCACTCTCCCATGTGCCCAGCTGTCTCCTCTCTCAGTCATTGGCCCCTTGAGGTCAAATGAACTGTTTACTTATTATCCACCCCCCCAGAGCACTGTGAGCCCCCTGAGGGCAGGAGGAACATGCTGTCCCCCTACATCCCAGTGCCCAGCATAGACCTGCACATTGGAGTCACAGAGGCCAAGGAGCCAAACCCAGTGTCACCCCCAGGACTCCTGGCCTGGTGGGAGACCATTCTGTGACAGGGTCATTGGGAGGGGCCCCGGGGGATTACAGGCCCAGAGGAGTCCCTGGCATTACCCAGGAACAGAAGTCAAGGCGAGATGACCCAGGCTGGCTGTGAGCCAGTCTGACTGGTCACGGGGCCCCCAGTGCCGCTCGCACACCCTCTGGTACCTGAGCCTCCACGTCAGTCAGCTTGCGGGCCCGGGCCGTGGTCTGGTTCAGGATGCTGGTGCCCAGCTCCAGCATGGTGGCTGTGTGGTTCTGGACCATATGCTGTTGTACCTGCGACAGCTCCGGCCTGAAGTTCCTCTGGATGTACCTTTCTAGCTGTAGGGAGACCATGGGCTGAGGTCATGGGCAGGGGCTGAGGGAAGGCTCCTGTCCCTCCCACGTGTCCATGAAGGACACAGAACAACCAGGAGGGGCCTCCCTGCCATGGCAGGCCACCACTGCCTCTCGCCTGGACTATTTCAGTAGCTTTCTCCATGGTCTTTCTGCCTCTACTCTTGTCTTTCTTCATCCTCCACTCAGCAGCCAGAAGGGTCCTGTTAAACCTAAGTTAAGTCACATTCTTCTGCTCAAAACCCTCTCAGGGTTTCTCTGGTACTCAGAGGAAAAGCCAGAGTCTGCTATGACTACAGCTTCTTGTATCCCCTGGCCTCCCGCTACCACTCCGATTTTCTCTGTTACTCCTTTCTTCCTCGCTCGCTCCAGAAGCACTGGCCCCTATGACATCCCTCCAACACGGCAAGCACAGGCCGACCTCAGGGCCTCGGCACATGCTGTTCCCTCCGCTTGGAAACTGCACTCCCCACCATCCCCTCAGGAATGGCTCACTCCTTCATGTCACTTCAGGCTTTTTTTACCACTTAGCAGTCCCTGACTTTATGTTGCCTATTTATCTGTCCATCGCCTGTTCTCCTCTTGGAACGTCAATTCTGTGAAGCCAGGAACTTGGTCCCACTCACCACTTTATCTCCGTGTCTTCCAGCACAACGCTTAACGTATGCTGGGTGCCCAGTAAATGCACATTCAGTGAATTAATAGAAAAGGGTGTCAGCAGGAATCAGCAACAGTCACGTTCATTTTCCAGCTCCCTAGGGGAGAGCCAGCAGCAGAGAGTGGGACACATCTTTCCCAGAATAAGAGTTCACAGATCCATCTGCCAAACCGGACATTTTGGTTTCCTGGCCCTCTCCATCGGCCAAACAGGGCTGGTCCAGCCAGTCTCCAAGGGTTCTCCGGGCTTGAAAGTCCTGGGACTGGACAAGATAATGTTCATTTCTTTGTTTGTTTGTTTGTTTTGTTTGTTTTCCCCCAAGAGCAGGAGGAGTTGGTCTGGCTGTGACACCCAGTCAAGTTGCACAGGTGAACAGTGTGTTCTCGGGGCTCCGTGCCCCTCCTCCACGCCCTCTCCATGCTGCACACCTGCGGGTCTCTTGCCACTCCCCCTCCCCTTCCCCTTTCTTCCCTCACTCTCTCCCTCAGTCTTCCATGAGGTCCCGCAGGGCAGCTTCCAGGGCCCCTGAGAAGACTGGTCGTCCCCAGGGAGAGAGGTGGTAACCTTGTCTGGGGGCCAGGCTCTGGCTGCTTCCTCCTTCATCTCTCCTTCCCTCTTCTACCTCAGTCGTATGCTCCCATCCCTTCCTCGCTAAAGTGCTTTTGAATGAGGCCCACTGTAGTGTGAGATCAAATCCTGAAGGGGGCGCATGTGGACGCGCTGGGACTGATCAGAACGCTGGTTCTCCAGTGTGGTCCTTGAAGCAGCATCTCCAAGGAGCTTGTTAGAAATGCACATTTCTAGGTCTCACCCAGGACCTGCTAAATCAGAATCTCTGGGGGGTACCCAGCCATCCAGTGAATCTGACGAGCACTCAAGTGGGTGTACAAGTCACAAAGGGGACTGGGGACCAGGGGCACAAGCACTTGCGAGCTTCTCTGTCCCGTTGCCCCCTCTGCTGCCTCTGCAGCCCCCCAGTCACTGTCCCCTGGGTTTGTCCCCCCACAAACATGCTTCAATAGTTCCCTTCTGAAAAGTAAAGAAAACCGATCCCGGACCCCAGAGACCCCTTCAACTGCTCTTCGGATTTCTCTGTGCCCTCAACAGGACAACTTCTTGAACAAATTGCCTCCATTTCCTCAACTCCATCCTTGCCCTCATCTCAAAAAAATTTAAGAACAGTATTATGGTGTACTTCACACATACAGGAAGAAAAGCATAAAAATACAATAAAAGCTGTGTATTTACCACACTTAAGAAAATATAACCCATCCTGTCTAATCCTGTGCACCCCACCCCAGCCCTTGTGTGTCTCCCCCGCCCCCTGGGAACCCCTTCACTCTTTGACTCGCCTTGGTCCGGCCTCCTTGGCAAGGCAGGGTCAAGGGGCACTCTGTGTTCGCAGCAGCAGTTAACCCGGATGACCACTCCCTTTTGCTGGCAGCACGTTCCCCTAGTTTTCCTTTTCTCGCTCCATCCCCTCCTCCCTCTCTCCTCTTCAACCAGGCTCCTACACGTTGAGGGTGGCGGCTCATAGCCTGGTGCTGGGCCCTTGTCTCCCTGCACACTCTCTCCCGAGGTCAAGGGTTCTTAATGTGAAGACAATTCCGGGGGATCATGAATATGAATGAGGAAAATAATTAAATCTTTTGTTCAGTAACCTGTAATTAAAATTTGTCATGTTCTTTAATGATGAGTACAGGCCACATACCATCGCACTAGTAAACAATCCCAGGACTCTGAATCCCATTCCAGAGATCACGCATACTTTCATCACAACATATGTGTTACAGTATCTTACCGCACTGTTTTTGCTCATTATGACTCTGGAATTATGGACACTCTTGGACCCCACAGTAAATAATGCTATAGTTAGAGCACAGATTTAGGGTTTTTTAAAATTTATTTATTTTTAGAGAGAGGAAAAGGGAAGGATAAAAAGAGGAAGGAAACGTCAATGTGTAGTTGCTTCTCATGTGCCCCCTACTGCGGGTCTGGCCTGCAACTCAGGCATGTGCCCTGACTGGGAATCAAACCGGTGACCCTTTGGTTTGTAGGCCTGCACTCAATCCACTGAGCCACACCAGCCAGGGCTAGTTTTAGTTTTAATATTTTTATTACAATTGCAACATCACTGGGTGTTCTTATGCTTTTATTTTTTGCATTTGAAAGTGTTGTTCTGAAAAGGCTTCCATATGCTTCCCCCAGGATCAGATGCCAAGGGGTCTGAGGCCACAAATGCACCTGGGCCCTGAGCAGGTGCTCCCTCAGCCCCAGGACTTTCACACCCCCTCCCGACTCCTCCCCTGAGTGTCCTGCCCATTCATTGTCTCCACAGGGGTTTCCAACAAGCATCTCCAGCAAAAGCACCCAACATGGAACCCTTGATTCCTCAGAGCCCACCACCCTGTCCGTGCATCCCCACCCTGTTCTCCTTTCATCTTTCTCCTCTCAGTAAAGGGCCCCCCACAGTCCTTAAGCCCCAAACCCAGACCTCATCCTGGACCCTTCTTTTTCTCACCTGCCACACTCAGCCCACTAGGAAGTTCCGGCCACTATGATCCCAATGCGAGTTCTGAATTGGTTCACTTCCCTCTGTCCCGACCAGCTACCCTCATCTCCAGGGGTTAGACCCTCATGCTGTCCCCACCACACCTCAGCCAGCTCCCCCGGGGTCCAGCGTGTGGCTGGTCAGGGTGCATGAGAGTGGATGAGGGGAAGCAGAGCCACACTGAGGCTGCTCTTGGACTTTCCCATGAGTCACGAACCTCCTGGGACCTGCTTTAAAATACAGGCTCCCAGGTCCTGAGTAGGAACTCCTGCTCTCTGCTGTGAAATAGTGAGTTCATTCCTACCACAAGACCTTCTTGGGCATCTCTCTCAAGCCTCTCATGTGCAGATGGACAAACTGGGGCCCAGAAGACTTGCCTAAGGTGACTACATGGTGGGCTAGATTCCAAGACTCCTTGCTTGGGGGCTTCCTCAGGTCTGCAAAGCTGGGTGGGACCTCAGGATAGCTTGGGGTCATCTTGAGTGACAGGAGCTCCTTCAGCACCCTCACTGGTCTCTCATTTGTCCTTTGGCTGCACGTGGCTGCGTGGGCAAAGGCCCCTGGCAGCTGGGGCCTGTCTTGCAACTTGCCACACCCAACTTGCCACACCCATCTCTGGAATGGGAGATCTAGGCCGGATGGGCCAATATGGCCAATGAGGCTCTGGTGACTAAAGTCAGCCTGTGTGGTAGGGGTTAGGTCTGGACCCAAGGCTCAGGAGCTGGCTGAAAGTGTTGGGGAGAGGATCCCAATGGACGCACGGCAGGGGATGGGGCCTGCCACAGTCTCCCCCACACCGTGGGGCCTGCCCCTTCTCTGTCACCCTCATGCTGGAAACTTCCCAGGGCTCAGATGGGAAACGGGGGCCTGGATTCCCAGCACCCCTCCAGCCTGCAAAAAGGCTGATCTTTGACCCTTGGCCTCCCCTCTTCCATCTTGGTCCTGGGCTTGAGTTCTGGCTCTGTTCCACTCCTGCTGTGGGTCTCGCATAGTTGAGGGTTACATTTCTCTGAGCTCATTTTACCAGTCTGTGATGTGGAGACAGTAAACCCTGCTCCTTATCATGCAGAAGGCATTTGAAAAGGGCCCTGAAGGGAGGGAAAGGAGATTTCGCAGGTGGGGCTGGGGGAAGAATGTATTTCAGAAAGACAACAGATGAGCATCTATGGATGTGCGATCTCAGTAGCCACGCCTTCTTTTCTCCTGCATTATTTAAATAAAAGCTACTTCAGGTGACCAACGGATAAACAACTTCAGCTCATCCATCCAATGGACTTCACTCAGCAGTATAAAGGAAACCTCACGGTGACCTGAATGGCTCTCAGATGCATTACGCTGAGTGAGAAAAGCCTGACTCAAAAGGCTACAAGCTGTTTGATTCACTTATATGACTTTCTGGAAAAGTCAGAATCCCTGGTTGCCAGGGCTGGGGTGGGGGGCAAGGACCGACTACAGAGGGGCACAGAGACTTTCGGAGTTTGGCGATGTCTGTGTCATGGTTATGGTGGCGACTGCATGACTGCACACATTTGTCACCAGGCACAGAACTGCGTGTAAAAGGGTGAATTTCACTACATATGAAATAAAAAACAATGGAGAACAAACCCACCAACACAAGGTTCTTTCAAACATCCCGTGTATATATCATCATAATAAACACGTTTCCTGACAGTAATCCCTCACCCTGCGTGTCACTCTCGTATTCCCTCAGGAATTATTTCTTCCACACCTGCTCCACACCAGGCACTTCCCTAGGTATGGGGTTGGCCAAAAAGT